ACCACTAGTCATTCTTATTCACTTGTTGTATTCAACACAGTCCCAACTAGTAACCACTAGTCATTCTTATTCACTTGTTGTATTCAACACACCAATGCAGTCCTAACTAGTAACCGCTGGTCTTTATCTGTTAACTCACGCATAGATAACTTAGATGCCCCAGTAGATGTTTTTCTCTAAAACATACAGGTCACGTGGGAGACTAAGCTGCATCGTCTCACATTTCATCGCTTTCAGTGTTGTCCGAACCGTGAGATGATTAAGGTTTCTTTTTAATACTCACTATTAGCAAGCGGAAAAGACGCCATATATGTAAAAAAAACGTTCCCTAAAACAACCACAAGATGCAACGCGTTCTCCGACTCCGAAAAGAGGGACTTCAAGATTTGCAAAATCTACGACGGCGACGGAAGTGTAAATAATTTTTCTTTGGGGTTCTGCTCATTGGAGATTTCATTTAAAACATTGTCAGTAAAGTCAACTCATCCACAGGGAAGACAGACTTTGAAGACGCGAAACCCCAAAGTGAAGTTATTTACACTTCCGGTTGACGTCGCCGTCGCAGATTTTGCAAATCTTGAAGTCCCTAAGTCCAAACGAAGCACGAGGCTTGTGCTGCTAATGGCTTGTGATGGTTTTTTCTCCGGGTTCTCCGGTTTTTCCTCCCCCTCAACATCTAAATTCCAATTCGATTTATCGGCTGCCTTATCAATAGGCCCTTTGCAGCTCCAGTAAACACGTGCTGATTAATTCACTGAGAGCAAATGAATGAACATCTTGATTCCCATGATGAAATATACTGGTGAGCGAACAAACTTTCTACAACCTGTTTCGAGAGATCGTAATAAAACTACTTTTCGTGACACACTGGTTACACATCGTTTCATTCAGTTCTTTACAAGTAGCTAAAAAAAATCACCAATTTAAAATAAAATAAAAAATTTTGCTCTCCAGTACAGACACGTGACCGTTAACTGCAAAGGGCTTATTGGGTTGCAAAATGGCATTACGCAGTACATCCAGTAGTGATAAATGCATTAGATTTCGACCTACCTTTAAGGAGTTCACGAGCTGTTTTGTATTCATCTTCACAGATAGTGACGTCTACCTCAACCACATCACCATCTGCTTGTTCCTTAAGCCCACATTCATTGACCAACACTTTTTGAAGGTCTTCTCTTAGTTGACCAGTTTGGTACCTAACAAAACAAAAGCTTACATATTTCAGTGTTATCTCAGCTTACATCTATAGAATTCTCACTTTGTGCTTTGATCTTAACCGCAAAAGAATATGCTTTCGTCAATTTTTTCATGCCAAAGAACATGTCAGACACGTATTTTGCTCAATATGTCACTCTCTTCAAAATGTTTGCAAACTACAAGTTCAGTTAAACCGTGTTGCCTAGATTTCAATGGCATGGAGCGGTGTTGCGTGACACGTTTCACGAAGGGGGTTGTGTGACAAGTTTCACGTAGGGTGTTTCTTGTGAAACTTTTCTCATGACGTAAGAGTTATTGTTTCAGAAATAACAATGAGCTCTACTCAGCTTTTCGTGAAAGGTTTACAGAACTATGCATAATGTCAGGAGTAAACTAGTCTGGCACGCAAGTTTCATTGAGAGAAAATTTTGTATGATTCAGAAAAACTCATAGTGATACGGACGTGCCGTGCCGAAGCCATGACGGTAGCTTGTCTGTGATGTGATTGGCTCAGAGGATGTAGTCATTTCTATTTCATGTGCCGTACTGCTTTACAGTCCTGCAAATCTAGTCAAAATGTTTCCTCACACAAGGTCAAAATTCTAAATCATTGTTACCTTTCCCAGACTTCTTCCAGACCGTTCAAGGTCATCACTCTTATCTGTAGTCGTATAGACCCATTTGTCATAGCAAACACCAGCACACCAGTCGGAAGAACAAATCCTTTCACCATTTTTAAGAAATTTTCTGGATCATCTTTATAGCGGTTCAGTATGTACACACTACCAGCCAGCCAGAACCCTCTTGAAGCTAGCTTGATGACGGCTTGTATAGCGATCTCTGAATTCGAAAGAGAAAATATTTCAATTTGGTATTAGCTTTTCTTCACGACTGCTAAAGAAGATCTGAAACAAGTGTGCAGTATGTTGCTGATGCTTGTGGTGCAGGTTTGTACGTACCAGACCTAAGCCTTGTAACACAGGCATAAACAGTAGCAATATTTGCAGACTATGCACACCTGTTGGAGAAGAGCTGTAACGAGTCTGTGTATGTTGCTTATGCCTGTGTTGCAAGTTAGGCCAAGACAATGAGCCATAGATTTGCGTTCACCGCTGGCATGAATTAGACGCTACCACAGATCGAAAATGTTCATCATTTAAAGAAAATGTCATTATTTGCACAAAAAAGGTACTTCATCACCCAGATGCAAGTTCCAAATCATCTTCCCCAGTAAACGTCAATCTTTTTCGTGGTTTAGCCTGGTACGAGGTCATTACTTCCGCGCGTGGGTTACCTGTGGTGCAGTATATTCGGTCTAGATTATAACTCCAAATGGGTTATAATATTGTCCACAATATAATAATGAAATAAAGCCTCGTCTTTTTTTCTTTTAATTGTCYGGACGCAAATCTATGACTTTCCTTTTCTTGCCCTTAATAAACCCTAGCCTTCCCTTCGTAATGTGACAGCTATTTTTCACCTACCTGGGTATACTGTTATGACTGGTGTAGTTCTGTCTTTCATAGAATCTTTTAATTCCTTTATTTGTTTATCAAATTCTTCCAGTTTTGCGGAGTTCTTCGATATCTCCTCTTCCATGTACCACATCTTCAGCTCCTTCACATCTTTGCTATCGTCCTCAGCTATAGGAGAAGCAAGGCAGTCATCTATTTTTCTTTCAAACTCCGCCTCCGACGTAGGACTTATTGAACGAAATATCCTTAGCAAAGCTTCTTTGATTTCGCTCCAATAGTTTTTAAAATCCTCGTCGCTGATTTCCATATTGTTGACATGAGCGTATAATGTATTGCGATAGTATTTGATTCTCGCCAAGCTTGCTTCCACGGTAGTATCTGTGCTGTTGGGTAGTTTGTCCCATYCAGTGACGACTGGTGCTGTAAGACCACAGATTTCTCGTAACAGCTTGAAAAGTAAAGTAATGTCGAAGGATTTTGACTCGACTACAACGCCAGATGAAGGATACAGAATATTCCACTGATCCTGAGTCAGTATCCTTCYTCTTCTCAAGCCATCTAGGGTTCCGAAGACGGTAGGATCCCTCAGTCTGTTGGTGAGATCTTTTGGAAGGATGATAAAGTCGAGCAATTCTCTAAGTGCGTGAGTTCCTCCACAAATCAACAGYCTTGTCAATTTTGTGAAATTCGTTTTCTGAGGAGAAGCTTGCAATGCTTCGCCTAAACGCGAAGCACTATTCCCAGCGGCCATATTTTCATTTACAGACCACTACCATAACTATATCTCAAGGATAATCGCCTGAAATCCATAGACGCGAACATTTGGATTTAGTGATTGTTATTTTGCCCGTCCTACTGTTTTTATTCTGAGAAATTACGAACTTCATAAATATTCATGAGTTCTTGGAAATGACGGGCACTGGGGCCTGGGACCTAGTCGGCTTCAGTTCCTTTCCAGGGGTTGCATGGTATATTAATAAGTATATATCTGAATAAAATATTTAATAATATATATATATATTATGTATGTATGTATATATATATATATATAAGCAGTACAATCTATTAAAAATGAATCAAGGGTTTCAGGATGTAAGCCACTGTCATTATATATCTTAAACTGCAAACGTCTACACAGTCAATCAACAAAAAAATAGTTATTTATTTAAGTCATATTTTCATGTTCTTTAAAACATGCAATGTAGTTAGTCTTTTAGTATTGAACTCAGTTAACAGAAAATTAAAGGTGATTTCTTTCTTCACAGAATTTCAAAACCAAATTCTGTATGGAATGAGCCTGATATTCTGGTGGGTATATCTTGAAGTAGCAGATTTTGTTAAAGTTATTCATCATAATTCCATAAAAGATGTTAATGTTCTTTGTCTAAAGATGATGATATCTTGCATCCAAGATTTACAATCTGGAATCCAAGATTTACAATCTGGAATCCAAGATGTACAATCTGGAATCCAAGATGTACAATCTGGAATCCAAGATGTACAATCTGGAATCCAAGATGTACAATCTGGAATCCAAGATATACAATCTGGAATCCAAGATGTACAATCAGGAATATAAGATGTGCAATCTGGAATCCAAGATGTGCAATCTGGAATCCAAGATGTGCAATCTGGAATCCAAGATGTACAATCAGGAATATAAGATGTGCAATCTGGAATCCAAGATGTACAATCTAGAATGCAAGGTTTCCAATCTGGAATCCAAGATGTGCAATCTGGAACTCAAGATGTACAATCTAGAATGCAAGATGTGCAATCTGGAATATAAGATGTACAATCTGGAATCCAAGATKTACAATCAGGAATATAAGATGTGCAATCTGGAATCCAAGATGTACAATCTGGAATCCAAGATGTACAATCTGGAATCCAAGATGTACAATCTCGAATCCCAGATGTACAATCTAGAATGCAAGATATACAATCTGGAATCCRAGATATACAATCTGGAATCCAAGATGTACAATCAGGAATATAAGATGTGCAATCTGAAATCCAAGATTTACAATCTGGAATCGAAGATATACAATCTGGAATCCAAGATATTCAATCAGGAATATAAGATGTGCAATCTGGAATCCAAGATGCACAATCTAGAATGCAAGATATACAATCTGGAATCCAAGATATACAATCTGGAATCCAAGATATACAATCAGGAATATAAGATGTGCAATCTGGAATCCAAGATATACAATCAGGAATATAAGATGTGCAATCTGGAATCCAAGATGTACAATCTGGAATCCAAGATGTACAATCTGAAATCCAAGATATACAATCTGGAATCCAAGATGTGCAATCTGGAATCCAAGATGTACAATCTGGAATCCAAGATGTACCGAATCTGGAATCCAAGATGTGGAAATTAGAATATGGAATTATTTTAGGTTTTCCAAACGAAAAAACGATTTTCTATAAAGATTGCACGAACTACAAAAAACATTGACGCAGTTCCAGCTATTTTTTAGTGTTTTTTGGCTTTTCCTTTGRCTTTTTCTTTGACATCTTTGCCTTCAATGATTCCTTGTGCTTGTAACAACGTCTTTGCACACTCATTAATATGCTGGAATCTCTCAGGTCCAAGTCTAATATTCCCGTGCCAGCGAGTTACTATAACAATCACATTGCTGGCGTCTGATGCTTCTAGTAAATGCAACAGCCTCCCTCCTGCTGCAGACTCGCCATCATCATCACAGTCTTCTACATATACATTCTTTTCTGGATCAAAAATCCTGTAAGCCCAAATATTATAAGTTGCTTTTGCAATTTTGCGATCTTGCTTTAGTTTGGTCAACACTTGTTCGACTTGATGTTTGGATGTGATGACAGCTAAATGTGCTTGGAATGTGCTCTTGCGATCTGATATCATTCCACCATGGAATATTTCAGGGCAGGTGAATTCTACAGGTTCATCTGCGGCACCTTGCTCGTCGTCTTCATCCGATTCTGATTCATTGAAGTCTTCATTTTGAGGCACTAAAAACATACCGAAAGAGACGAAGTTACTGTTGACTGATTTCAAATTTACAACGTTCGTTTCATTAATGCATTAGCTTCAAAGCAAGATGGAAATCAAACTTCGAATAATAAACTGAATCTTTGAACCTCGATAGGAATGCATGGGTGATTTTGACTGTAATTCCCAGGGTTTTTCTAACTTACTTTCATCATCCTTCTCCTGTTCTGTGTCTGCTTTCCTTTCCACAAAATCCCTGAGTATTCCAACCCATGCATCTAGCATTCCTATTCCTTTACCATCATTCTCTTTCAACTTCTCGCCGAATCTTTTGTTCACCTCTTCTTCTTCAGCATCCGTCATCCATGTTGAGTAGAGCTCACAGACAGGAGGTCTCTCTGGGTACTTGTCGGGGAGAGAGAACCGAAGCGATGCTGAGTATTTTTGATCTCTACCTAACGGCCAGATTTCGTATTCTAGACCCGGTTCATCTACAGTTTCCTTACTAAATCGATTGAAATTTTCCCCATAGAATGTGGCAATGGATTCGATTTCCTTGCTATGTTTATTTATGTTGTCTTCCTCAGACATCTTGGAAAATCATCATGACTTAATCAATTGGTTTTTTTCTGGGAAAATGACTTCATCGTGTACTTCCAGGAAAAAGGAAAAACTAACTTCCGATCAAAAGGGAGGGACTGGAATCTAGTCAAACCCAGATCCTCCCCGCCAATTTATACATCATAGGAATATAGCAGTTATTTAACGTTATATCTTCATAAAAACTATTCAATATCTTTTTTTTTTCGTTTTATTGTATTATATGTAGTTTTTCGAGTCTTGTTGTCTCGAACTACGTGTATCTCTGTCTCCCTTGGACTTACGTCGCTACAATATTTTCCCCTGGATTTTCGAACCCTCGTTATTGCCAACCTTTCCCCTGGGACTCCACGGTATATTACAGCAACGCATCCCCCCTAAACACACACATGCACTTCTTACAAAGATGGCACATTAATTTTTCTTAGTTTGAATTCCGTTAAGAAAGTTAGAGATCCCCCCTCCCTCCCTCCCGCTAAAAAAGTGTTCCTTAGCTCCCTCCGACCCCCCGACCCCC